GCTAATTTGGATCTCCATGACTAAGGATAAATATAGTTTTAAAATTATGAGAGCTTACTTTGAAAAAAAATATTTTTGATTAAATAAGCATTAGGAATTAAAAAAAATACTGTATGTTAATATTTATTGATTGGGATATATGTTTCTAATCTTCCTGATAAAGCAACCCCATTGATTGTATGGCTAGTATATTTGCTGCCAATACCTTTATGTTACAAGTGCTCCTTAAGCACCTCAGTTCTTTTGCAAGCAAGAATCCATACAAGACCCTACAGTAACTCAGGCAGGCCTACTACCAGAGACTCCACATACAGTACATACCATCCCATTGACCCTGAAGGATTTTGCAAGTTTAGCACTTGCTCTTTATGGAGAGCGCTTTTCTTAGAGGGGTGAGGAGCCATGGCCCATGTTGTAGTACCGTAGGGCTTCCTAGTGTCCTTCTCCTCCCGCTTTCTCCAGGCACAGCTCTGAGGGATAACCAACAGCTCTCAAGTCTTACCTTGAATCATGCAGGCTCCTGGGGAATTGCCCAGTTCTGTTGCAGGTGATGGAGGTCTGAATGCCTAATGCAGACTTTGGCTCCTGTTATAAATTAGCTCATCAATCATTAACTGAAAAGAGTAGATAGAAGAATTCAAATCTCCTTCCTTGAAAAATCTTCCTTTTCAGATCGTCGTCAGTGCTGAAGTCTTATTTATGCATTAAATTGTCCTTTATGATTGGGAAGGGAAGCTTGAAACTCCTGAGGCTTTACGTGACTTCCACCCCTAGTCTTGGGGTGGCGTTTTCTCTATTTTTACACAGTGTATGTCCTACATTCTCCTTTCCGGTTAGTCTGACCACCAGGAGACACTGAGTGCTCGTTTTCATCTTAATAGCTGTCCAGGTTCTGGCCCTCAGTGGTTGTAGTAAAGGATATATAGAAGTGCCATCAGAGGGGTATACATGTAGTTACAACTATTTGTTTAGTAATCATTTGAAATTAGAACTGAAAAAAGTGACTTATGATTGTTTTTCACATTTTATGACAGTTGTAGCGTCACCATGTTCATGTGATAAAATTCATGCACTTGGCAACTGGTATGTGTTTATGACAGTTGAACTGTCCTGGGTTCATGTGATCATCATTTATAGCCTTCCCAGCCGGCTTCTGACAAGTATATGGGGAAAGCTAGATTTACTTAACAACCACATGATTCACTTAACAGCTACAGGGATTTGCTTAACAACTATGGCAAAAAAGGTTGTAAAATGGGTCATAAATCACTTAACAACCGTCTTCCTTAGCAATGAAAATGTTTGGCTCAACTGTGGTCATAAGTAGTGGACTACCTATATATGATCCACCTTTCCTTAAGCTGTGGGAGCAGAAAAATAAAGATGTTATTTCATGCCCCCATCAGCTCGTTTTACATGACTCTCATTAGGCCCTTTCCTTTCCTATCACCCAGAAGCTTTTCTGAACCACAGCCAACTTCTATATCAGGCACATTTACATTTTATGGGCCCTGCCTCTGTTCAGTGACAGATCAGCCATTAGAGGATTGCGGCTTTTACACGCTTCTGATGGGCCGCTCATGCTTGTAGCCGAATGAGAAGAAAGGACACCGGACAAATCCTTCTTGTGATAAGCTTTTGGCCCCGAGCAATGCCCGGGAGGCTTTTTTATTAGTCCCAAACAAAGAAAAGGTGTATACAATATTACATCAACAGGCACATGACTAAATAGTCCAATAATAATAATGCGAGCGTGGCAAAAGGCTTCATCTCTGGGCAAAAGAGGAGAGGTGGATGAAAAGGGGGGCTGCTTCGTCCCTGGGCAGGAGAAGAGAGATAAGGAATAAGGAGGGGGGAGTGGAGGAAAGTGAGCAGCTCGCATTCCTGCCTTTGAAATGCTAACTGCTAGANCAACCGAGAATAACAATCCTACACACTATTTTACACCTCATCTTTCTATAAACCCTGAACAACATGCTATTTCTTATTTTTCTTAATTAATTAATTTTGTTGTTAAAAAGAAGCAAGCAAACTTCAAATATGGATTGGGAAAAACAATGGTTTGAGATTGGCTAAAATAAGTTGGTGTTAATATAATGTCAATTATAGGTGTCATGGGAAAATAGTTTTCTCACAATATACTAAAGTGAGAAATCAATAAGTAAATGGAGACAAAAGAGTTAGTCATATACACTACAAATATTTAATAAAACAGAACAGGAAATTCAATTTTTAAAAAATAATTAACATGCTATATTATAATTATTCCTACATATTTGTTTCCTGGAAAGAAATGGTGAAATCTAAATTCACAAAAATAGGAAAATTCTGTTTTAACGAAAGTATCTGCAATAACAGAATGTTCTGAGTCTGATTGTGGCTGGACTTCCTCCTCCTTATAGTTCACTGAATCAGGGAGGCATCACTGTGTTGCTTCCAAACGTTACCTTATTCTGAATTTTAAAAACACTTTAGCCCCTTTTGCCTACACAAAGGACCCTGCATATTTCTGCCAAGGCCATCTTCCTTATTCTCAACAGTGTGGGAGAGAGCCTGGGGAAATTGGAGAGTTTCAGATCCAAGAAATCCACAATTCTGTTGTGAAACTACACTTCATCCCTGACCTGTGTCTTTCCTGGAAGAGAGCTCCCTATCTCGCCTTCTCTACACAGACAAATTGAAGGATTGTTTGGCTCCTAGGAAGATAATATGAAGACTGAAGGGTTAATTTACCTAGGGACCATAAATCAAACAATAATCAAATGAATCAGAACAAGTCCAATGATAAAAACAATATAGAACTATATAAATAGGAATAGAAAACAGATGCTGTAAAAATGCCATTGGAACAGGCAAAGGGTTTTTTCTGGTCTAGTACTATTTTCAGATGGGATCAATTTCCCTAAGAATAAATGAGAGATGATATAAATGTAACTTCTTGTTGTTTTCCTTCAACATTTATTGATCACAGATATATACTACCTGAGATCAAGGCAGCTTCATTTGTTCATAGGCTTATCTTCTACAAAGAAGCTTCGGTATTTTAAAACAAACATCATATTTTGTGTTTCATAACAAATTATTGTTTATAGAAAATATTGAATTTTCCCAAAGTGAATTCCCTTCAAGTACATAATTATTAAAATACATAAAGATCAAATGCTATAAGGTGGGATGTGTGAGGGGAGAAGAGAGATACAACCTGGCATCTTCTACACCTGTCCTGGGTAATATAATCTAAGCCATAGAAATATTAGCTATTCTGTTGGAAGAGAGAGACAGAATTAAAGAAGGCTGATTTGGATCTCTAGGACTAAGGATAAATACGGTTTTAAAATGATGCAGAGAGCTTACTTTGAAAAAAAATATTTTTGATTAAATCAGCATCAGGACTTTAAAAAATACTGTGTGCTAATATTTATTGATTTGAATATATGTTTCTAATCTTCCTGATAAAGCAACCCCATTGATTGTATGGCTAGTATATTTGCTGCCAATACCTTTATGTTACAAGTGCTCCTTAAG